TTAGTATTGATAGTAGTGTTTGGTTTTAGATTACGAATGCTCCGTTTTTGAGCTCTGGTGTTATCTAAAAGCTCTTTATTTTTCAGAATCTTCACTTTCATTTATGGAATCCTTGTATATCTCAAAACTGTCGATTCGGAAATTCATCAAGGGAACAGAATGCTGCCACCTGACTGAGTTTGATGGATAATTTTCATTAAATAAAAATACATTTACATTTATATATCTTTATTTATTATAATTCAATAAACAGTATATAACATGAAGAAATAATACTCAATATTATTTATAGAATGAATACAGGTGTAATAAAGAACAGGATGTGGTTATAGTATATTTTGAAAACCCGATTATGATAAATATTTTGATTGAATTCTCAAACATAATGCTTGTCAGAATGAAATGTCTGTCTACGTTTTTTTGCTAGAATTGGTGTGGTCCTGTATCTGCATTTTTAAAGCATATTGACACCTCCATGAAATAATAACGAATCTCTAATTGCAAATTATTATTCATTACCGCCAGATGGACAGATTATATTGCTTTTTTTTCATGAGTTTTTAAATAATTTTCACTATCTTCAAATTTCTACGAAAGACTGAAATATAATAATAACTAAGAGAATTAACATAACTCTTGATATAATATGTTTCAACAAAACAAATAGAACGAGTGATTAAATATGATTAGGCGAAAATTTTACCAAAATAGATTCACTGCATTTCAACACTCGAAAGGCTGAGGGCGAAGAAACGTTTCACTAAATATATTTTTGTCCATCACTTTCCTGTTCATTTTGATAGCAGTTTGTCTCTTAAAATGGGCTCATCGTTAACGGAACAAATCTTAACCTCCTTTCACATTTTTCATCAACTCAAAATACATGAAAGACCTCTTTTGGGACCATGTTGAATATATTTATTCAGAAATTTGAATCTTGTATTGAACGACTTAGTTACAACTTGCTTTTACTTATGAAAATTTGACTAAATATAACAATATTCAATAGTTTCATAGTTGATGACGAATAAAGCAAATGAGATGTCAAAATTGAGAATAGATTAAACTCAACCAGCACCATCTCGTTAAGAAACGCCTCTCTGGAGATGGCCAATGTTGACAAGGAAAAGAACAATCTCACTAGAACCAACGATATTCCTTTCACTTTTGTACTATCTCAAGATGTTATCTAATAGTATCTAAATGATTACAATTACTCAGATTCAATTACACCCACAGAATACACAAATTTCACTCATTAGGCGAGAACATCATGAAAGTTCAGTCCCTTTCAGAGAAAAGGAAAAGATATCCATTGTTCTCAGCCTCAATCAATCGCTAATGGTCTGAAGATGTATTAGTCCAAAAATATTGGTATCGATTCGTATCGCTTTTGTACCAAAAGAAAAGAGTCGAAATAATACATCTGTCAAATGCTAGTACCATTGAAAGAAATAATGGAATCAAGGATCATCATGGGAAATCTGGATCTGGAAGATCTTGATTGAGATACACTGAGATGCTTCATTCTCGTATAAGCATCCAGTACGTCCTATTCTTCCAACTCTATTGAGTTGAGTACCTTTGTCATTACCTACAGTGGTGTTATATAAGGGCTATGTAATCAATCACTTTTAGTTTAATGTATAAGTTTGAAAATGTCCGTATAGGATGAAACTGCAGTAACGTCAGTTACAAGTTAAAGGGGTAAAAACACAGAAAGTTTCATTTCTCATTTTTCATGAAGATTTCCTACCACGTAGTAACGACTACATCCACCAATTTATTGAATTACATTCACAAATATTCTCTGAGAAATAGACGTTTTCTTAAGAAGTCTGAACCCTAGGGGTGAAGAATGAAAAGATGTAGTGGGGAGAGTATCCAGCAAATTAGATTGGTATCGGTTATTAAAGAAGAGTTCAGAAAAGATATTTGGGGTATTGACAAGCTGATGCACCCTTCTGATAACAATACCAGTACCATCAGCATCACAGATTTCAAAAACTCTTACTCATTATTCTCTCAGTCATTTGGGCACGAGACATGACGTTGGATAAGCTTCAAAACTTCTAGTCCTTAACTTCGTAAAGATAACAGTAAATAGAATAACTGAAATGCTAGTGATGCACTAGAGTACAACTTAGGTAACAGGAAAAATACGAGTAAGGCCAAAGATGCTGCTGAATTTCAAGAGAGACAGAGAGATATGCTCTAAAGTGAAATGAAGTATAATTATTCATTCCCCTTCCTTAAAAACTTAACAGTTAATGAATTTTTCACCTTCCAGCTACTTGTCAAAAATCAGTAACTCACTCAATATCTCCTATTAATATGATAGTACGAAAGCGTATAGTTCTTGTTTGGCAACATCAATAAATAATTTACAGATGACGATTTTCCTCTCAGTTATTAACATGCTGAAGTGTTACAAACAAAATTATTTTTTGATTTTTTTCCTGATGATCCTGAAACTGTTTGAAATTTTCTACACATATTTATTCCAATTCAATAATTTACTCACTCATCAGAAATGCTAGTATATGATTCTATATAGGCCTGATCCAATTTCAGTGACACTTTTCTAGTTTTGTTATTGATAATGATTCTGAGAAGTATGTAAGAGTTGTTGACGTGAATGTTTAAATTTCTGATAAAACCAATCTGTATGCGTAAGGAGATTGAGGCATGTTCGTGATTGAATTTCAGGAATGATAGAGATCTCTGAAGAATGTATCAGTTGATGTGGAAATTAATCAGAATTTACCCCAATAATGTCTGGAACAATGTATATTTTATGGTCAATAATTCGGTATGAATCATATTTTCTCACTTACTACTGCTGTTTGACTGATGTATTCAAAGGAGAAGATTCTTTAGTATTGATTCTAATATTCTATAGTGAGCGAGTAAATTTTCTGTAATCCAGTACCTTTTTCTGATACAGTCCTCATTGCTGTTACAGAAATAATTTTCAATCATACATCACATCGGAATTGTCTAGGGATCTTTTTATGACATACTAAAATTCGTTTAATTGGTATAGTTGCTCATCCTGTATATTTCTGTGGAAGTGTCGATTTTGTCATGCTGTTTAAAAATAATTTGTTTGAAATCTGATTTACCGTTAACCAGCTGTCGCACTCCTACGAACGACTACTCTCAAAAGTCGAAACTTGTGCGTGCCAAGGACTAACGGGGTCTTACCTTTGAACTTGTGATTCCTAGCACGGGTTGAACGATGGGAAGTGAAAATCGATCGTTCGGCCTTGCGGTTTGAATCACCGGTTCATCATTTGCTCCATGAAGCAAATCTCCACAGTCGAAAGCTACCTAGATATCCAGAGGCAGTGGCACTGTCAGATTGAAGTGAAATGCAATTGATTGCACAACAGTTTCATTCGCAGACGAATCCAGATTTGGATTTCGTTCAGATTCCCGTCGAATAAGAGTGTGGAAATGTAGAATGCTCAAAACCTGTGTAGGAGGCTCACACATACAGAGGTGGTATAGTAATGATATGAGGCGGAATAATGATCGATGGCAGAACCGACCTTGTTTTCCCAAATCGTTTCCTTATAACTCAACAGTAGGTACCTTGACAGCAATCTTCAATCTATCATTCGTCCGTTTGCTGGTGCTGTTGGTCAAAACTATCACAGCGGAGGTTTTGATGTATCGCCGTAGCCAGCACAATTTTTCATGTCCCATACATGCTCTCAACGAGTATGTATTGAAGTATGTATGTTCAAGAAAAAATGACACCACTAATGAGTGACTTTCACACGCCGTTTCGTTTCCGAGAGCGTCTTATATCGGAATGGGCAGAACTTATCTCAACAGATTGACAATGTTATTTTGTCGATGAACGATAGATGTAGAGCAGTGAGGAACCAGCGTAGACCATATTGTACTAAGTTGTTTTTCCAAGCAAAAGTTTTTGTGACGACAGAAAGTAGTGGTTTTTATTGTACTTATGCACACTCTCTTGTTATTTTTTATGAATATTGTTGTATAATATGCACATTTGATCACTACATATATATCATCCAAAAGGAATTTACATCATAGGTGGTGGCAAAATATATTTTTCTACTGGAGCTGCCTCGTAAACGTCAGTTTTTCTATGTATATTGGGAGGCGGCAAGCCCCTTCTTATATTTTCTTCTAGAGATAAATCTTTTTTATTATTCTTCGATCTACGTTTTGGAGCCCAATAGACCACTCCACCTATGACTAGCAGGATAAAAATAACAGTTACAGAAACTGAAACTGCTGCCATCCAACCTACGGAACAATCCATTTGGTGCTTAGAGGAGCTCGATAGAAGTTCTCCAGTTAAATCTTCAGGACCATCACAAATGATGTCGCTGTCGTCAAGAATTAGATCGAGAGAAGGCAATTTATCTTTCCTCAAACCCACTGTGCTATTCAACTTCAAAGAATTTGATCTGTATTCCTGAAGTAACTGCCAAAGCCAGCCAAGTGAGCAGTTGCAGTTCAAAGGATTACCCCCGACTCTTAATTCATGTAATTGATCTAAAGGGAAGTGAATAGCTTCAAGGCTTTGGAGACTGTTGAATCGAACCGAAATATATCTAACCTTTGAGTTTCCATGAAATAATCTAGTGGGCAACTTTTTGATGCCTATATTGTAGTCCATATTCACTTTCTCAAGATTAATATTGTCTACGAATGCTCTTACATCAATTTGCTTGAGAGTATCTAACCGATCTATTCGGAGAAACTTCAGATGAAATAATCCTCTGAATGCTACAGGAGGTATGAAACTGATGAAATTTCCACTGAGTTTCAGCGTACTGAGGCTGGAAAGTTTCGCAAGGGGTGTAGTAGGCATCGCTGTCAAGTTGTTGTCACTCAAGTCAAGATGATCGAGAGTTACTAGACTTGACAATCCGGCTGGATGAATTTCCGTTATTACATTACTATTGAGAAGCAGTGTATGAAGTTCTGGTAAATTTGGCATGTCTCCTTCTTCAACATATAAAATGAAATTTCGTGATAAAGACAAATACCGGAGGTGCACAGTATCAGACAAAGCAGCAGTTGGCACTTCTAAAAATTGGTTGTCATTAAGATAGAGCTCCTTCAAATTTTTAGCAGCTCGAAATAAACCTTCCTCGAGGTGTAATAAACGATTTCCGCAAAGCCTAAGCACTGATAAGGAATGAAGCTCTCGGAAGGCAGCCGCTTGCAATTCCTCCAAACTATTATTTCTGAGATCCAAGTTTGTGAGTGCTTTGAGACCCTTCAGAGAATCCTTGGTTAGGTTTTCAATTTGATTACTACTAAGATCCAAGTGGGTCAGATTTCTCTGAAAATTGAAGTTAGAATTTCCTAGTGTTTTAATTTTATTACTCGACAAGTTGAGTACGACAAGTTTTTCATAAAATGGAAACGAAAAATGAATTTGGACGATTTTGTTATTGGAGAGATCCAGTTCGTGTAATTCGGGGTTGAGCTGGATCGGAACGAACTCTAGTGATGCAGAAGAGCACGATGTTTTCAGGACGTCATTCTCACATTTGCAAGCAGCCGGACAAATCGCTCCATCGCTAATGGAACCAGCCATAGCCAACACCAGCATCGTTAGTATTGCTCGCCAACACATGAATTGGATTTTATCATCCTCCATGGCAAAAACGCCGCATCGTCATGACACCTGAAACAAGAAAATATGAGTTAGCAAGCATTTGATATTAAACGAAATTTGAATTTTGTAGTTATAAATTTAGGAAAATTATTGATGCTACTTGCCAGGCAACAGGAAGTATCGAAAAACGAGGACATAGTACATTTGTAAGGTTTGATTTGTATAAAACTAATTAGTCTAATAACTAACGAAATACATGTTAGAGATTGAGGCTATGTGGTTCGGTCAAAATGTGATGTGAATGAAAGACAACTTGTGACTGAATGTGTCAAGTGTCGTGTTGAAAATAATGGAACCAACTTGAGGAGTGATCCACTATGAATTTTAAAATTGTTTTAGGGATGCCAATTTAGAATTATTTGAATTTTAAGTAATAAATCTTGATTACAATTCATAATAATTTGATGAATGCGAAGGAAATCTCTGTATAACTTTACTTGAGTATTCAAGCAGGGATTTCAACACGACACTTGAATTGACACATTCAGTCACAGGTTTTCCTTCATTCACATCACATATTGACCGAGCCACATGGCTTCAATCTCCAACATGTTAGAGGTTAGATGTTTTGAAAGATTAAACTAGTTTGCTAGTAATTTTTCTTCTCATGCATATCCGCTACGAGAATGGTCTGAAACGTTTCCGATCCAACAAGATACAAGACACTTTTTCAGAGAATATTTCTTTATTTTTCAACATAGTCAACTTTTAACTTTACACACTTTTCCCAGCGAATCTCCTACCTCTGTAACTCGTTCAAATAGTACTCGGCGTTTTTCCCTGCAGAAGGTCATTGTTTTTCATTTGACGAAAATCACTGTCCTCAGAGGACGACTTTTTGATGAGAGAACAAAAAAAGTCGCTTGGGGCTAGACCTGGTGAGTAAGGCGGATGCTCAAGCAGTTCCCCGTAATGAACCTTTTTCCTGAAATACGAAAAATCACTCACTAGCAGCGCTAGTAGTTCGGTAGGGACAAACACTGCCTAATGCTCATATAAACATATGGTAAAGTACAATTGAAAAATAATGTTTTTAACAGATGAAAATGTTCCTGAAGCGAAACTAAAATTTGCAACTGTAAAGGATAACAATGTTGTAACATTAAAACGTTGGCTTGCATGCCGTAATTTAAAAGTAAATGAAAAAAAAAGTGAATTAATAGACATGTTAGTATACAGACTCTAGTAAAAGAGTAGCGGTAGATTTGAACTGTAGTAAAAATAATTATGAATTTCAGATTTATTTCTTACATCTAACCTCATTAATATGAGGTTTTATAAATGATATTAAAACACGTTTGCTTTCGGATATCGATTATTCGACGTACAATTAGCAAAACAGCAATGCTTTGTTGGCATTATACTAGCACAAAATAATTTTTTATATCAGATTTATATTTCAAAATAATGAATTACTATTACGTAAATAACACTGTTTCACATGTGAATAGCTTATGTTTGTCCCCACTACTAGTGCTGCCTCTCGTGACACGTTCGCTGTACTATTCTCAAGAAAAAGGCTCATTAGTGGATTTTTGCCATGGCAACCACTGAGTTGTAAGACGTTGCGTTATCTTGGTAGAATAGGATTTTCTTTTTCTGCAAAAGTTGCCGTTTTTCAGCAATTTCTGTCTTCAGCTTGTAAAGTAATGATGCGTAGTATGCTCCTGTAATGGTTTTTCTTTTTTGAAGATAATCTGTTTAAAAAAATCTGTTTTTCCGGTAATCAGCTGTCGCCCCCATACAAACGACAATTCTCAGAAGATAAGAAACTTGTGATTCCCAACACGATTGAAATAACTCCATGACTATCCCAAAAAACAGTCGCCATCACTTTCCTAGCCGAAAAAAGAGTTTTTGCTTTTTTTTTGAGCTGGTTCTCCCTTTGCAGTCGACTGTTTGGACTGTATTTTTGTTTCTGGTGTATAATGGTGTAACCAAATTTTATCTGCAGTAATTAATCAGCACTAAAACTCGGATTAATTGCGCCTACAGCGCCAACAGAGCGTTGGAAATGTTCATTCGAACACGTTTTAGGTCGAAACTGAGCAAACGCGGCACCTAACGTGCAGGCAGCCTTCTCATATCTAAATGTTGATTTGATGTGTGACAAACACTTTCTTTTCACATGTTCATAAACTATCCTTTCTCTCTCACTTTAATTCGACGGTCGTCTAGCACCAATTAGTGAACTTTGGCGATGTTTTCGTCGGTAGTTACAGTTTTTGGACGTCCCGCGAACTTTCATCGTCTCCCAAGCTCTTACGGCCACATTTACATTCAGCTGCCCAAAATTTCACTGTATTAAATGATGGTGCAGAGTCAGCTTACACAGAATCCAACTCATCTTTTATATGCCTAGGCGTATTACCTTTCAAAAACAATTATTCAATGACAGCTCGATACTCGATTTTGTCCATTTTCATAAAAACACTCCTATCAACTCAATCAAATGACTGTTACATAACAAACACGGTTCCAAAATGACTGAAACTTTGATGAGTAACCGTCAACAGATGAACAACGAAAGTCACTAGCTTTCATTTACAAGTGCTGCTATCTTTATGTTGAGGTCGGTTTATATCCAAACGGACCTAATCGTTCTCATTACATGAATAAATTTAGTGTAACTTGAAGACATACGACCATTTTCACATACAGAATTTACCTAACTTCACAGGATGAACAACTCTACAGGATGAACAACTCTACAGTAGGATTAGAAACAAAAAGATCAGACACAAAGTTTTAAATTTCGTCTACTTTCAGGTGCTACTCTTCATTACAATATGTTATAGTCGAGAAGTTGAGATGACACCATTATCACATCCAATGTATTACTTACAAAACAAATTTCAATTATCTTGTTGATACAATTTGGCCTCCAGTGAACCTTTTCGGGCTTATCACGCTGAAACTTGATGCACACAGAGAAAGTTTCACGTATCAGAAGTAGGAAAATGTAGAGAACACAATATCATCAAGGCGTACTATGTATAAACTAGTGTGTATATACATGCATATTTAATCAAGTAATATTATACCGTGTTGATTAGGGAACGTGGTTCGACTGAAACGGATTACCTCTTTATATGCGGTGTGACGAATTCATTAGAATAAGTAATGTTGTGGAGGTTAGCACGCACTGTATTCATTTTTGGTAGCTCAATGTGTGTCTATGTTATCCCCAACGAACCGGGAATGACGTTCCCAAGCGGTGAAATGTATCCCAGGTTAAATATACCACAACATCTTCAAGATCTTCGTCCAATAAGTATCCTGAATTTACAATAACGGATACAATTCATTGCAAAATTTCAACTAGGAGAGTTTTACAAAAACTGCGACACGTGTTTCGCTATGCAATAGCTTTCCTAAGAGGCAGTGTTGAATAACTTACAACTTGCAACCATTTCGTACTCTCCAATATTAGGTACCACCTATAGTTCAATCAAGTAATCAATTAATTCAACTACCTGAAAGACCAGATAAAAACTATTCTCTACTAAATTCTACTGAAAAGAACTTTTTAAAAACATATGAACAATGATTTACTGTCTTTAAAGCGTCTGAATCAGTGTTGTTATTAGTAAATTATACTTAGTGTGTGAATTGCTTTGTCCACTTCAGTTTTCTCTCCAGAAAAACGAATATGCTTTTTCTGTAAACAAATATATCAAAATTCCTAATTTATATAACGCTCTTATATACCAAAATCCTTTCTATACCGTTTATACACTGATGGAAATGTGTTAGCAACTGACAGGGGTTTCACAATCATCCATTAATAAATTCAAAGATCAGAGAAATCCCCAGAATCATCCACAGGAAGAAAATCTGTGTCTTTTAACGAAAACTACAAACTTGCAATTGGAAGAACAGTACATTTATTTTATTTCAAGGAAAAAAACCGACCCTCGATAAAATAAGGGGAGCCTTGAAAGAAGACCAAAGTATGTCTCCAATGATTCAAAGGAATCAAATTTCAGCTAGAAAAAGCAAAACAGAAAATTACTCGAAAATAATGAATAAATAGAAATTTTTATTATCTAGACGTAACTTGGGTTAACGAAGAATATACCATTGGAGATATGAGACAAGACAAAAACATCACAAGTTTACCTAAGCATTTTTAGAAGAAGAAACGACATTTAAAATGAAAGATATCAAAATACTCTTCAAGGAATCCTAAAAGAATATCGATTCCGAAAACTGACTAGAATGTAAATGTTGTAAAAGAAGTGGACAACATGTGGAAATTTGACCGTCTAGTTGAGGAAATTGTAGAATCTTTGATGATAACATTCGACGAAGATTCATCTGATTTCTCTGATAACACACTATAAATTTTGCTTTTACCTAATATTTTTTCAAGTGAGTATACCTATTTATCATTACGCAAAACTCTGGCCTCAAATTGTGAAAAGAGTTTATTTTAGCTACCTATAATTGCACAGTTGGTAATTAGCCCAACAAGGATATCCTAAACCAGATTAAGACTACACACTACCAAATATTGGAAATAGTACATCATTCAATTGATTTCCCTTTGTAAAACATTAAAATAGTCCTCAAACATTGATTTCTTCACAAACATGCTTTCAAAGGATACATTGTGTATGATTTGCCGTTGAAGTTTCTATTGACGTATGTGATATTCATTATAATTCTACTAAAAGCACATTGTCGTCACCAACTGACAAATACACGTTGTTAACTTCGGTTTAATGCCGTTGCCTAGAAACGTCTAATATCTCTCCGCCCTCAACCGTCCGGGTCACAAAAATTGAGACAAATGACTACACAAAAACCCAGAGAAAGTGCATACTTGATAAGGATTTTGATGGCATGAAGACAGCGCAGCTTGTTCAAGGCAGGCATTTATAACTTTGAAGTCTGCACAATTCTTCAATTCTATGGGATTTAAACTCAATTGTGTTGGAATGAAATGTTATGATAGATCTACTAATGTTGCTCAATACTTTGTGCTATTTTATTTTCTTGA